CGTCCGTGCACGCGGGGCGTGGTGGGGAGAGAGGCGGGTGTGATGGCAGGTGCCGGTGCGCCTGGAGCCACGAGTCCACGTGCATGGGTCCGGGTGCAATGGGGGAGACAGGTCCGTGGGCAGGCGCGGCCAGCCTACGCCATCCACACCTGCTGTGCCACTCACCTCGGAGGCCGAATGCGACACGGAAACCCACCTGGCTGTGTGAGAGGCTCTGCCCAGGAAACTGCAGCCAGCCAGACAGGGTGGGGCTGGGGAGGGAGAGAGGGAAGGGGCAGCGAGCATCCTTGTCCATCGGGCCCACGTCCACACGAGGCACCACGTCCTGCTAACCTAACCGGCTGTGGCTCTGGGTTCGGTGGGACATGCCCCCCTGCAGGGAGGACGTTTTCATCTCTAGGGAATTAATTTCCTCCTGGGCCTCTTTCCAGACCTCACGTCCTCCTGCCCAGGGACCCTCCCGGTCCTCCCACAGGACCTGCTTGGCTCTCCCTGCAGCTCTGCGGACCGACGCGGCCACACGGCTGCGGGTAGCTGCCTGGCAGGCCCGGGACGGCCGTCTTTACCCCGCGGGGCCTCACGCTTCCCCAGCGATAAGGACGTGACAGAGCAGGCAGGGAGAGCCAGCAGGCTCACAGGCCCGGCCGGGGTGCCCTCCTCACAGTGACTGTCTCCTTTGGGGACTTGGCCTCCACCTTGTAACGAAGATCTCTGTCTTCGCACGCGGCGGATGTAACTCGGCACTTCGCAAAGCCGGAGTCACGGTAAGCAACTGCCCTTCGTCAAAGACCCCTCCTTTGAGAATAACTGTTTTCACACTTGCGGGATTTTTGACCTTTCAGGAAGCACAAGCACATGGAAGCATTTGTTCTGCAACTGAAGGTGTGAAGAACGACATGTTCAAGCGCGAAAACCTGCTCCTAGGCCTCTGAATTGCAAAACTCGGTGAAGCGTCGGCGAAGGCCACGGACAAGCCGCCACTCCGGGTCACGGCTCATACTGGGGACCGCGTCTTCCACGGCAAGGTAAGCGGAGCAGAAAACACAGCTATGGGAGGCGCCTGAGACCGGAGGCGCTGGGCGAATGGGCCTTCCCACCTGCAGACCCTGAGACCGGACTCCCTGATAGTTGACATCTACATATGAGGTATGAAACGCCGCCCGGTATTTCGAGCCTTATCTGATGTCAAGCATCTGCACATGGGAGGGAAGTGGTTTTACTGGAGCCTGGAGCAGCACAAACATGACCTCTCAGGGAGGGCGGCCTGCAGAAATGGATGACCACGGGGCAGCATCCATCCAGAAGTCCGGACCCGAGAGCAGAGGAAAGACCCCTGGACATGAGGCCAAAGCCATCAGTGGCCCTGGTGGTGATCTGGGTGGGTCGGTTGGTTTCTTGTGCCTCAATTTCCCAATCTGTAAAATGGCCCCAATTCTCTCACAGAAGGTGTCTTGGAAACTGTTCTGTTCCAAACAAGTTAAACGTCACGTCAAATGCACATGGAACGCACTGGTGCCCTGAGAGCCATACACACCCCGGGGAAGAGGGTAACAGGACCCCCGGGTCTTACCAGCCTGAATTTTGGCTCATACGTAAAGACAGGAGGCAGGAATGCAAGTGTCCAGGCAGAAGGAACAGCAGGTGGTAGAGACCTGAGGCCCCCTGCCCACAGGGTTGGGATGCCACCTGGGAAGGGACAAGCTAGAGGGGTGAGAATGGAGGCCTCCAGCTTTCTCCCCAACGGGGAGGGTGCTGCCAGCAAGCCAGGAGTCTGCTTGCCTGTGGGAGGGTCGCTCTGGTGGCAGTGCTCTGAAGGTCTGCCCTAAGGAAGTCTTTTTATTCTGAGCTTTGACTCCTGGGACCTGCTGACCCTGGAGGCATGGCCATTCCCAGAGCTGGCTGACTCACCTTTCCCCTCCCCCCGCACAAACCAGCCCAGCCAGAGACCACTCCCACCCCTCCCCTCCATGGCCACCCCAGGGCAGGTGCCAGACAACTGGGTACAGCCCCACAGCCCATCAGCCACTAAAGTACTCACACTAGCCATCTCTAAGCCTGGTTCCCCCACTTCCTCTGCTCCCCCTGTGGAAACCACAGTAAAGGGTCTTGCCACATTTTCTACCCACTCCTGTGACTTCCTGACAGACCTGGTGCTTCCCAACCCCCATGGCACGCATGCTCCCTGGTCCCAGGAAACTGTGAGGAAAATTTCATCCTTCGTGCCTTGTGCACATCTGTGCGTCACAGCACAGCGCACTAAAACAAATCCCAGGTGCCCTTCCGACGCGTTCCTGTGAAAGTGTACACTCCGCGTGCTCCAGAACAAAACTCCCTGGGGAAGTCCTCGCAACAGGACAAACTCGTGCTATAATACGGACGGACACATGAACTTCTATGACCCGCTAGGACAATTCTTGAAAAGAGGCAGCAATGGAATCTGCCCTACTGGTAACTAAGGCACGTGATTCCGGAGGTACAGCAGTTAGAGCAGTGTGGGGCCGCGGGGACCAGCAGACCAGTGGAAGGAAACAGAGCGTCCAGAAGAGCTTCATCAATCCTTGTGCTCATGCCTGAGGGAGCCACTGTGGGGAGGCAGGCTGCTGGGTGGCGTCGAGAACACAGGGTCCCAGTGCAGAGGAGAAAAACGCATCAATGGATTAAAAACACCATGAAAGGCAGAATGAAAAGTATCAGAAGAAAACGGAGAACTCATCTTCTCAGAGAATCTGTACAGAACTCTAAAACTCAACAAACAGACCAAAATACACAGCCCCACACCAGCAAGCAGCACCCCTCCTGTGTTGTCTGTCCCCCTGGAGAACGGGATGCTCCGTCTTCCTAAGACAGAGGCAAAGCAAGAAGAAGGAGCCACAGGGACAGGGCTAGGGCCTGAGCCTGGCCACCTGCTCCATGCGCCAGGGTCTGTATTCCAGAAGATTCCTAGAGAACCGCCGGGGATTTGCCTTAGACGTTCAGGGTCCCCGCCGGTAGTTTCTTCAAAAAAGAAAGACAATTTCTCACAACCCCTTGCCCAGTACCAACTTCTCCTAGTCAAGTTTCCAGAACACTCCATGACTCCTAGAAAATTCCATCACAGGATTGAAACTGAAGAAAAGAAAGTATAAAGCAGTGCAAGCCGTCGACTTCCCTGGACTCCCCCTTCTGGGCCCTGCACTCCTCGCTCCGGCTCTCCTGGCTGCCTTCTGCCTTTGTCAACCTTTCGGGCTTCTCCAGGGCTCTGCTTGTTGAGAAGGATTTGAGAACCCCCTCCTTGCTGGCCATCCTTCTTGGCTCTCACTCTGAATAGCTCTTTATCCTGTCCCAGCAGCTCCCAGCTAGGTTCTTGTGTCTGTGATCAGAGCAATTGTCATCTGAATGCTCAGAGATCAGCCGTGTGTTGATGGCCACCAGGCGATGGAGACAGTCCCCGCCACAGTCCACCAGCAAGTAAGACCCACTGCAGTCCCCAAGGGCCATCTTGTCATCACACACAGCAGAGAAGGTAGGTACTGTGCTAGTTGCCTTTTACGGATTTGACAACTGAGCCTCAGAGGAGACGTCACCGGCCCTGGTCCGGCGTGAGGCTTAGAAAGGGCACTGGGATGTAGCCTTGCTCTTGCCCTGTCTGTATGGACAAGGCTGTCAGAGGACCTGGACCACGGCTAACCCGCGGAACTCTCTTCTGGTTCCCCAGTTTTTCTCTGTCCATCAAATCGCAGAAGCGCCCTCAGCAAGGTGACACTTCACCATATCAGCGGGCAAGGGGATCAGCCAGGTTATCAGAGGCTCAGGCAGGGACACGGCTGGGGACCCTCACAAGGCACGGAGGTCCTAGGACCCCAGGACCAGGCAGTCCCGCAGCAGGGGCCCCAGAGCAATGCAAGAAGTCTTCCGACTACTTCCTCACGATTTCAGCTGCTGGGTTGTGTCCAAGTTGTCCTTCCTCACCCATGCCCCCCATGCCCGCTGCCTGTCTGGGGCTCCACCCCCTTCCCATCAGGGGCACAGGGAGAGGCAGGCACAGAAGTTTAGCTGCTCTCACTACACTGCAGTTTGTGGTAAATGTTTGAAATTGATAAATTTTGATGAACTATTTCACTTTTGCCCTAGTTAGTAATACTATGCCACAAATTAGAGACCCCCACATGTCTCCCTTCATGCAAGGGAGTGATTCCGTGAACTAGAGTAATGAGGCCACGAGAAAGAATCATTTGATTCACACCCACTGAAAACTCTGGGTCCCAGTCAGCAAACGCGTCTGTGCACCCCCCCCATTCCGGTGGACCTGAGATGAGCGGTCGCTGCGTGGGGAAGAGGCTGCGCTCAGGGCCTCCTGGGACAGCCTGCAGCCAGCGCTGGCCCAGACTGGACCTGGGAGGCGCACCGGGAGAACCTGCTTCCCCTAAGGCGGCCTTCGAGGACAGGCAAGGAGGAAAGGCAGCCGGAGCCGGGGCTGGGTCCATCCCTAGCGGAGCCTCGACAGAGTGCGCGCTGGCCTCGCGCAGGTGCAGCCTGGCTCGGCGCGGCCCCCGCGTTCGGGCAGGGGGGGCGCCTGGTGCGGAGATGCCCTACGCTGCTGGAGAGAGCGACTTGCCGGGCCTCTCCGCGCAGGGGACAGGCCCGGACTGAGGGTCCCCGCGGTCCGGCCACTACGGGAAGCGCCGCCACGGGCCCAGGCGCCGCTCGGGACGCGGGGATCCCGGGACCCCGGCCTCCCCTGCGCGCCCCTAAGCAGCTGACGGCAGGCGCCGGGCAGGGCGGGGCGGCCTCGCGGGCCCGGGGGCGGGGCTCTCGGAACGCACCGCCCCCGCCCGCCCAGCTCGCCCCTCCGGCGCCCCCCGCCCCTCGCGTCACACCGCCCGCCCGGGGGGGCGCGCGCCCGCGGGCCCGCCCCTGCCGCCGCGCATTCTCGGCCCGCGCCCCGCGCCCGCTCCGCACCGGCTCCGCACCGGCTCCGCGCCCCGCGCCCCGCGCCCGGCTCCCTGCGGCGGGCGGCGGCCATGAGGCTGCGGGCGCGCGGTCCCCGGGCCGCCCCCGGCTCCAGCGCCGCCTCCAGCGTGGGGGCCGGCGACGTGCGGCGGCTGGCGCCCCCGGGGCGGAACCCCTTCGTGCACGAGCTGCGCCTCAGCGCCCTGCAGAAGGCCCAGGTGGGTGCGCGCCCCGGGCCAGACCCGGGCCCGTCGCCCCCGCGGTCTGCGACCCCCCACGGCCCCGCGGCGGGCGGCCTCACCCCCATCGGGGGCCCGCGCCCTGGCGCCCGGCCCCACACCCCCTTTCCCGGATCCCCGGGTCGCCGCACCCGCGGTCCCCGGGCCCCGCGTCCGCTCCGGCCGCGCGCAGGCCCCTGGAGGGAACCGCGCGGCTGTCCTGGATGTGACTTGGTCATTTGATGAGCTTCGTGTGGGGACCTCGTCGGTCCTTTGAGTGCGGGCCGGAGCCCGCGGTGCGAGCCGGCCGGCGGGAGCGGCAGGATTTCCGCCTCTGCGCCTGCAAGTTGTGCTGTGCGGCGAGTGCCGGGGGCGCTGCCCTGGGGGCTCGGCCGTGACGGTTTTGTGCGTCCCGGGTTCCCGCGAGCGAGCAGCGGAGTCCGCTTCCAGCGCGTGCGATGCGCGGAGCCCTCTGGTCCCGCTGAGAGATGGACGCCTGCTGGAAGCGGCCGGGCCCCACACGTCCCTGTCCTCGCCGGCTTCTAGGGGGGACCCGTTCCGCGACATGGTGGGGTCATACCCGGACCTGGTGGGAAGCATTCCCAGACCTGGTGGGTCATTCCCTGACCTGCTGGGGTCATTCCTGACCTGGTGTGGTAATTCCCTGACCCGGTGGGGTAATTCCTGACCTGGTGGGGTAATTCCCCCGCAGGGCTGGGCCTCCCTGTGTACATTCCTGCTCTTGGGTTGTACATTTGATTTCTGTAAGATTGCTCATGACATGGCATTTCTTTTGATTCCAAAACCATAACGGAAGCAGGCACAAGTGTAGGATTTTAACAGTTGTGCAGTTGGTGGAGAGTATTTCCAGCTGTGACCAAACATTTTGGGGTGACATTGAGATTCTTCTTTAATGCATGAAGTTAGTCTTTGGAAATAATATTGAAGTGGAAAGTTCTTGAAGTTTGATATTGTTGTCCTGGGTTGCACGCTTTTCTTGAAGCCTCCTCTAGGTGGGCTTGATTATCATCGTGGGAGAGGAAAGGGTAGGCACTAGACTGAGGACAGGGGAGACAGGGGAGGGTGGCATCCCTTCTAGTGACATGAAGAAGCAAGGTCGTACCGGTCAGCTCCTGGGCCTTGTCCCCTGTGTCTGTGTGTGTCTGGAGACAGACACCATCATCTGCCGCCCCTGGGGTCTGCCGGCAACCCCCCCTCTGTGTTCTTTTGCTTGCAGACTTGAACTCATCACCTGCCAGCTGCTGTACCCAGCTGTGAGGGGGTTAGGAGCACAGCCACTTCCTCGGGGCTCCTGAATGGTGCCCCCCACCAGACCCTACCCCATCACTCCTGTGGTCCACAGGCCTTCTTCCACCCACTGTTCTGAACCCTCGGAGGGTGACCGTGGGAATGAGCCCTGACTCCAGGTGGCTTCCAAGGTCCCGCTGCATCTGTGTCTTCCTGACTTTGCCTGCTGTCCTGGCCTCTCTGCTCGGTCAGGCCGTGGGTGACAGCACCTGCAGGAGGAAACCCCCTCCTCCCTGGAGGTCCCTGGAGGGCTGCCTCTGTGTCCCTGTCACACTTGCAGCCCCCTCCCTCAGTAGTGTGGAGGGACAGGGGCCGGGTCTGTCCTGCCACGACCTGGTGCTTTTTGTCCGAGTGGGGTGCGCTGTAGAGGCTCGCTAGTCGATGAGTAAACACGCAGAAAGGACGGACGGACGTCCCAGCAGAGCCTTAACTCCCGGGTACCCCTCAGGGCGGGGGACACAGGGCTGTAAACTGGGGGTTTGGAGCAGCTCCTGACAGGGGGGATTGTGGTTTTAGATGTTGGCGGGCAGTTTCTGGAAGATATTCAGAAAAGGAAAGGGTGGGTGGAACGCTCTAGCCCCCCAGGAAGGGGAGGATACTTTATGCACACCTTGTTGCGATGTTGCAGAGGCTGCGTCCTGGCTCTTCAGGATAACTGGTGTGTTTCCTGTGTGCGTCCTGGAGCTGCGGTTACTGCTCGGGTCAGTGGCCCGTGGTCCAGGGCACAGAGTCTATGACTCCTAAGCTCCAGGTTCCGTCCTACAGAGACGTTTTGTTTTTTTGCAAGCAGTGCTCTGCGAGCTTTTCTTTTTTAAGTAATACAGTAGGCTGAGGATTCCACGGGGGGGATCTGGCCTGTCCAAGCAAAGAAAGTCGGACTCCCTAAATCAGTCAGTAAACGAGCCCAGCCATGGCAGACACCCAAGGGCGCTCAGGAACCCACTGGCATTCCGAGTCAGGATAAGCCCGGGAGGACACCTGCGTGCACCTGTTAGGCTTGCTGCTGGGGATGGGCCACCACTGTCTGCGGATCAACGGCCAGTCCGCCTGTCATTTAACCACCGATTTAGTGAGGAGCTTAACCACCTCTTCAGACGGGAAATAACTTATCAAGATAGAAAAGCTAAGTCGCGTCTTACGGGGTCACCTGGCGGTTCGCTGTGGGGAGTCATAGAGTGGTTTCTATTGCCAGGGTTAGGGGGGCGCCTCTGTTGGAACCCCCAGGCATGAGTGCATCCCGCCTCCAGCCCCAGTGCTTCCCCATCTCTGAACTCCCAGGGACGAGTGCCGAGGACGACTCACTTCCCGGAAGGCAGTCTGGCTTCCTGTTCACACTGGAAGTGAGTTGTCTGTGGGAGGGCGCTGCCACGTGCTCCCCTTTCCACGTTAGACCCACAGAGAGGATTACCGTGAAGGTCAGATGCAGGGACAGACTCCAGCCCAGCAGCCCTGTGGGGTGGCCTGTGTGCAGTGTAAGTACCCAGAAACGGATGATCGTTTTCTCTGAGTTCCTGTCCAGATGTTTGAGTTTTGGTTAAAAGGAAGAAAGCAACAGCAGATGCCCTTGGTCTCTCCCTAGAGCCTGAGTCAGGCGTGGCCCTTCTGGGGCAGGGAGTCCCACGCCCCAGACTTCTGCAGGTGCTTTCCACCTGCTTCCGTGACCTGCCAGGCTCCCGAGCACCCACCCCAGCCCTCCTGCTGCCCCTTGTGGCCGTGCCTGATGACGGCCCTTTATCCGCCCCGGCGGTCTGCCCAGGGGCGTGGAGGGAGGGGCGCGTGGGACCAGACGTGACTCGGAGCTGGTGGCGGTAGAAACCGGGGGGGGGGGGGCACGGGGACGGAGGGCTCCCAGGAGCACGTGTGTCCCAGGGGAAGACAGAGAGGGCCGGCTGCGGCAGGCCGGCGCCGAGGCCTCAGGCCCCGTCACCTCTGACAACCTGGGGGCCTGGCAATACCCTCTGTTGTGTGTCTGTAGCCCACTGGCATGTAGGGGCATTTCTACCGTGTCCTTGCCTCTGGTCGCTCAGTGCAGACCTGGAGACAGGCGGGTGCGGGGTCGTGTCACGTCCCTGAGTTCCAGGTAAGGAGACTTAGACCCAGGGACTCTGCGGGCCTCGACCCCAGGCAGGTTCGGGGCAGGTGAGCCCTTAGGGGACTGGCTTTTTCTCCTAACACACCGGGAGCCTCCTGTCATCCAGGTCTGCTGTTCTTGAAGGGTCACACATAAGCTTTAACCGTGGCCAAGTTGGCGGATGGGGTGGGGGTTGAGGAGACTTTTCATAATCCTGCTCTTTGGTCCTGGAATATGGGTGCTTGACGTGTGTGTCTATAGACAGGTCTTGTGTATGTGTACACGCACGCAAATGTAGACACAGACTTGTGTTTAACATTTTAAAAATTTATTAGTACTGAGTAAAGCATTGTCAATCTTATCTCTCATTTTAGAAAATCAGGATTTTGCCCCTGAAAGTGGCCACTGAGGCATCCTGGTGCGGGAGGAGGGTGCTTGCCCCGCTCCTGTCCCCACGGGCATCTGAGCACCAGAGGGCACTCCAGATGCTGGAGAAGGTCCAAGGAGGGGCTCTGGGCTCCTCTGCTCCTGGGAGTCTCAGCGAGGCTCCCACGAATCGTGTTTCACTAAGCCTCTCTGCCCACCCCGCCCCGTGCCGCCCAGCCAGAGACCACTTTGCCCCCGGGGCCTTCACCCAGCACAGCCAGGACACGATGCCACGGTCCCTGGAGCTGCAAGGCTGAGCTCGCCCCTCGCCCGGCCCTCCTGCGTTTGCTGTGATGTGTCCGGGTGACCTTAACCTCTCCTGAGCTTGCGCTTCTCCCGTTTCTAGTGTCCGTAAACCCGGAGGGAGGTTGCGAGTTATTGTGAAAATGCGCCTAGAGGAAAGCGTGTGTCTAGATGGGGTCGCAGTGCTGACCTCAAGCCCGGCCGCCCGGCAGCCCTTCGAGCCACACTTTGTAGTATTATAAGTAATTATCACATTCCTGGTTTTGCGTACGTTCCAGCCTCACGAGCGGAGGTGTCTCCAAGCTTGTCAAACACTGTCCCTGAGCACACACATGCCTGCGGCTCCCAGCGTCTCAGGCACGGCGCCAACTCCGTTCTCATGCATTCGCAGGGGCCCAGAGGCTCTGCAGACTGCCCTGCCCGAGCCCTTGACACGCTCCCAGCCTGTGGGCAGGACCTGCCACAGGAGCCCAGGGACAGCGGCCTCTTTACTCCCAGAAGTCATGTGTCCATCTGAGAGCCAGAGAACTGACTTATTTTCTCTAAAAAGCTACTTGCTGGCTGAATTTTTTTTTAAAAAAAACATCTTTCACAATTTTGATATTCCAAACCCCTAGGCTGGGGTGCAGAGCTGACTCTCACGGGGTCGCTGAGGCCTGGAGGGCGGGGACCGGTGTGGCCACCCGGTGGGGCCCTCTGCTTCATGCACGGTAACCCCCAGGAGTGAGCCTGAGGCCCCAGACAGCCAGGAATCCTAGGCCGGGGGGCTGGTTTGGACCAGGCCCAACAGCGGAGCAGACCCCCTCCCTGTAGCAGTAGGTCTCTTCACTGGTAGGAAAGAGTCATCAGTCACTTCTGTCCGGTGGGACTCGTTAGCTCCATATTCTCGTGGGGGCCCCTGGGCCGCTGGAGCTCAGCACGCCCCAAGCCGGAGCCCAACTTACCCTTGAGC